GTAGGCCGGGGTCGGACGGGCCGTGGAGGTCAGCGGGTGAAGAGCTGCTGGCATGGTTCAGCCTTAACTGTGCCTAAAGTGTAGGTAGGTCAGTGTACCTGCACCAGCCACGAATGTAGCTTTCAGAGCAGGATACAGAACTGCTTAAAAAACACCACCGTTAAATGAGGCAAAAATACCAGTTCCTTCTTTCGGGGAGGCAAAGGACAGAGAGCGCTTAAATGTGAGGCTGATGAGCAATCGTTTCAACCCTTTCCCAGGAGGTGCGGCAACATGCCCCTGTCCAACAGCGCGGGTGGGATTGAGGAGGGCTAAGGCAGTTTCACCTCTTTATATTGTCATCTTTTCTCTCTCCTCAGCCTCAGAGGCTCTCGCTAGTACTGCCCAAAACCCACCAGACTCCAGTGCCTCATGGGTGGCAGCCTTCACCCCGCCAGCGAGGGGGCTGAGGAAGGCCTGGCAGCTGGAGGGGCACTGCTGAACTGCTGCTCCCCAGCAAGGCTCGCGTCCACCGGGCAGCGCGCGGGGCACGCTGCCAAGTCTCCGCAGGCGGCCCTGTAATGACTGCCTGCACAGCACGTCAAACACCACCAGACAGGCACCACGCACGTTCTTTTCATCTTGCGTATATCACCACATGATAGCTAAAATGTAGGAGTGCTTTTTCCTTTGATCTTTTTTGTTTCAGAAAAAAACCCACACCAAAATTCTTTCACTTGCTTTCCTTTAATACTGTATTTGTTTCACAGGAAAAACTTCCCTTATTTGATCAGATGTTGAGTATGCCTGGTTCAGGGTCTTGTCTTCTGTAATACCCAGCCGCAGACGCTCCAGAGAAACCTCTTAAATACCTTACACGAAGAAGATGCGGTTACTCTGACCCTCTGCTGTTTCAACACAAGAGCTTCAGTAACTTTTCTCTCCAAAGGCCTCTTTTATTTATTGATTTTAACCGTTATTTTTTATTGGCTGATTCTGTTTGTGAAGATTCTTACATTGCCTGTTAACTGGAATGTGCAGGATGGCATTAAACGCAGCAGTGTTTAGGTCACCGTAAGAGTGGACTAAATAACTTGAATAATAACTGTTACAGGCGTCATATGATCTTCTTATTTGGCTATTCTATGTGAAGATACATTCTTTAATTTTCTGTTACTGTTTCTACTTTGGCTCACAGAGATTAAAATTGTGGTGGATGACACAGACAGTATTTACATGACTTATTTCCCACCACGGCACTGTCCAGAATTGATAAAGGCTCAAGAGTGGACTCGGATTTCTGGAAACGCTTTGACTGTTTCCTTCACTAAAGGTTCTTACAGAGATTTGGTTGCCATAGAAGATTATCGGAAATCCTTATTAAAGTAGAATAAGGAATAAAGGGGGTTTACAGTAAAATCCCACAGAGTTCTGTGCTGGGATTTGTACTGTTAAGCATGCTCATTTTAGTTTTTTAATATTTTTGCTCTTTTGTAATTCCTACTAGTTTTTCTTATTTTTTCTTTTACCCCTCTTCATTCGCTTACTGATTCTCCTTCCTATTATTTTATGTCCTTTCCCTTCTCAGGAAGTATCACATCGTAGAGGCTGTCACTTCCTACCAATCTTTACCCAGTTTCCTACAAGTAATTTCACAGAAACATATAATTCTGCTTTTTAACTTCTTGGTTTTGTATGCTCTTTCTCTGCAAATTCAACCTCTCACACACTTGCTTTCTTTATACAGTTTCTACAGGCAACTCGTTTTTGCTGGGTTTATGCCGCACAAGCCAGGGAGCAGCAAAAGCCAGCTGCTTTCCAGGGAACATGGAGCCGTGAGCGAGAATGCAGTCAGCCGGGCAGGGACTTCACCAGCCAGGGCCTCATCCCACAGTGTCCAAGCAAGGTGAGCAGGGGAGGTCCAGAGATGTTCAACCGTGAGTTCAGATGGTCAGACAAGTTCACGGTGATGAGGCAAGTGCAAGGTAAAGCCCGGAAGGCAAACCGCCGGTCAGGGTCAGGCCCAGCGAGGTTAACCAGAGTCAGGCACAGTCCCATGATCACCGGGCCATTCTGAGGTCAAGCTGGGAATTCAGCCCACAGGTCACAGTCCAGATCAGTGGCGTTCATGGCCAGGCACAGGCATGACTGTGACTCTGCTGAAGGCCTATTGCTGATCTTAAATAGTGACAGCCATAGCCATGGTCAGAGGGTGTGGGTGGAGGCACCAAGTGAGGCCATTAAAGTCTGCTCATGCACTCGGGGCCCTGACAACATACTCTGTTTCAGTGGGGTCATCTTCCATACGTGCAAAAACTACCGCAGAGAACAGTTTTCTACTAGAGGGCTGTACAGTGCAGACAGGAGGGAAGGCCGGAGTGTAATCAGAACCGGCCAAGGCCTAGTACCCCTGTTTCAGGGTTGGTCCTCATTCAAAAGCATCTAGAAATTACTACTCATAAGGATTCATAGTGCAGGGAGCGTGGCTGAGATCTGTGGGAGCAGCAGTCATTTGAAAGAAAAGGCACGCTATACAGGTTTGGTAATCTGGGATTATGTCAGAAGAGATTGGCTCACCTATGCACACCTGGCTGTTGCCTCTGCATCAAATGGCTAACTGAGTGATTGCTCACCCGGATAAACCAGTATTAGCACACAGCAAGGATCGTTCTAAGGAACGTTACACATAACAGCATACCAAGTTCTACAGAAAAGTACAATACAAATATATATGGAAATCTGTGCCAATATTTTACATCTTTACAATTGCAGCTGCACAGGGGCACGTCAGGAACACCACAGCACTGGCAAGCTGTGCTTAGCATAAGTAGTAACAAAGGGAGGCTATGTAAGTTATGTAGAGTAAGGTAGTTTGCTTTTATTTTTTATTTTTTAAGCCTGGTTGGAAAGTTCTTCATGAGCTGCAGCTGACATGAATGTCAGCAAATTCTGGGTTTGTGCCAATCGAAGACTATGAACCTGTTTTAACATTCTAGCTTGGCACCTCACACCAGGACTGCGCTTCAGTCTCCTCATGCCTAATGTCCGCTGTTCCTGCATTTTAAAGTCAGGTTAAATTACTTCCCGCAGTGGGAACTTACTTAAAATGTGTTCACTCTTTTTGATAGTGCATCCCTTGCCTTCTTGACAGAGCATCTGACAGTCTATCAGTAAGGGTTGTCTACCTTCCTTAGCAAAAAAGAAGAATGGCATTTGCTACAATAATTTAAATTGCTAGGCTTAAAAATAAAATCTGATTCCTCTTTTTTTTTTTTTAAATTTTCAGTGGGACTTACATTATTATATCCAGTAACATGAACAATATTTAGTTCAGACATTACTCGGTGGCTTGCTCAAGAAAGCCACATACTCAGACACTTCAGTTTTCCTGTACCTTGTGTGGCAGATATGCATGTCTCTTGTAGTTTGAAAATATTTTTATTCTTGTTGGAAAATCCTCATTTACAGGACTGCATCTAAAAGGGATTTTCTAAGCACTTGGGAACAAAGATGTCAGAATGTAAGAATACCGAACAGTGACACTTGGTGGTTAGTTATGTAACTTGCACATTTCTCGCCATTAGAATACATGGGATGAAAAATGATCCTCAGCTTTTCAGTCATATTTAGTGGCTTGACTGATATGGTTTGTGAAAATCTGCGCTTCCTCAGCATCTTTCAGAAGCTTTAGAAGCATCAAATAAGCCTCATGATGTTCTGTGGTGCTGAGGCATAATTGGATTTTTCAGATGCAGAAACTAGAAACTAACCAATTGCCAAAATGTATGCAGTTAATTATTACACAATACAAACTGCTTTGATACCTGCTCTATTCCCTGGGCCGCATGTCCCTTCACGTCCTGTCATAATCTCTTACATCTTCCTGGCATATACACTCCCACTTCCTTTTGAATCAAGCTCTGTGTGCATTGGAAGTGGCTATATTTTCATGAAAAAGGCATTGGCTATCTGTCTTTTCCCCAAATGTGGCCAATTTAGAAGTTCTTATAATCAAATAAAGATTAATCAGCATAACTGAACACCTAAAAATCATAAAATATGAAGAAAAACCCCACATCATGATTCTAATGTGCACTCATGTTATTTGACTGGCTGGAGATTATCAGTACCTTGCTGGTCTCACGCTGGTTTGTGTTTCCTGATTGCACAAGAGACAGAACAGGCTTCCAAAAACTGCAGGTCACTGGCAGTCAGCACTCACAGCCTTGTGATTACTGCTGTGGCCCCAGGGCCTGAAGGCGCCTTAGAAAGTTACCCAAGAGACCTGTGTCAGCTGTAAGAGCCATGCCAATTCGTTGCTTACTCCATTCAGGCATAAGGGGTGAGGGGGAAATGGCTTATTTCATTACTGCTTTCCAATCTCACCATGAACTGCATTTTACAAGAGCAGTAACTCCCAGAGCTGGGAGTGGTTGAGGTACCGAGAAAATCTTACAGTGACCTGAAAAGGAGCTCTTTGGGCACATGATACCGGCTTAGCTCCTGATTTCGCTCTGAGAAAAACAGCTTGAGGAGATGGAAAGAAAGGATAAAACCAGAAACAGTAAAAAGAGACAATCCTGGTGGCTGAAATACTGCTGGGATAGCTGACCGCTTCACGGTGTTTCTGGTCTATGCACTCACATGATTTTTGGTGGGGGCAGGAGGTCCTGTTATTGGTGTTTCAGGTAATGGGGTAGGGGTAGGACGATAAATCGTATATAGGGTATGTCTATATTGCACAGTTAGTCAACACGACCGACTTCTGTGCTGTGGTGTGTTTGAAGGAGATCCCCTGGCTTTTTCTCTGAAGATGCTCTACGATACTTTCCAGGTCAATTATGCCCCGAGGGAAATGGGAGCAATGTCATGACGATGAATGTAAAATTTTTCACAATGTAACTGAAGTATCTCTTTTGTAAAATACTCTGAAGTATTTTGTCTGGCTGTTATAGGAGATGGAAGTCATTGTAATTTATTTGTTATAAAAAATAGTAGGAATTCTGGATATTGTGTATATTCTGAAAATTAATATCTTGAACGGGAGTGTATTCATCAATGGAGTCTTGTATTCAGGCTTTTCTGAAAGGTGGAAATATTTTCACATGGAATAAGCATCTTTCAAGTATTTTCACATTTGATGGAAGTACTTTCATCACTTGAGGCCCTTCTTGGAAGTCACTCAACTATGAGAACACTTGCTTTTAATAGAAGACTGTTTAAGCCAGTGGGATTCCTGGAATTCCTGAGCCATTTATGCTCTTCTTTACACTTTTCTTAGCACATCTTAACTCAATGAACATTTTCTGTGATCCCCACAGTCTTGCTTGTGGTAGGAAATAGTCATCTCATTAAAACCATGAAGGCTTGGACTGGCATTTCAAGTCTCTTACAATGAATTTTGTTTTGACTGGAGTAATTATGGTGTCCTTGGTTACAAAATTTCAGGTATAGTTGTCTTAGCCCATGTGATACAGGGAATGTGTATGTAGAGTACAAATGCATCTACACCTGTTACACAGAATAACAACACAATTATTGTGTTACTATTTTTGGAATATTTAGTTTATTATAGTAGTTTCAGGAAAAACTAGCAAGTACTTATACATATATTAATTACGATTTATCATATGTCAGTGAAGTAGGCATTGATAAACTGAAACAGATGTTACTTTAACAATATTGTTAGCCTGAGCTATGTGGATCACATTTTATTACAGAGAATATTAAATTGCAAAGTAGAAATCTATTGTTAATCTCATGCATAAGACAAATAAACAAAACCTAGATAGTTTTTTTATTGGAGAAAGAAGAGACGGGGAAAGGGGCTGAATGGACAGAGAGGCTGCTTGGACTTGATTTGAAGCAATGGTTAAGTTGCTTGCCTGACTTCTCTTCAGAGTCATGGCCTCTGCAGAAATGTGGCTTCTTTTAAAATTATCTATGTGAGTGTCTCTGACCAGTCCACTGTCTCTAAATTCTCCTGGGGAAAAGAATTCAATTTGCAGGGTCAAAAAGAAAAAGACAAGACAGACTATATGAGGACTACCTTACCTGGTCACCCCTTAAAGAATGATAAAGGATGAGTGCAGAGAATGACGGATTATCTCTGCTTTAGAATAATGTAATTCCCATGTTGGGGGTGGAAATAATGCCACAGAGCCGAAAGTCTTGATGTCTCATTAAATTCCATAAAAAGCTATACTGGAAACAAAGCAGGTCAGAGGTGGGAAACTAACTACCTACATTTATAAAAAAGATTGTGACCGGATCTTTGTAACTGTACCTTTTGGCTTCATACAGCAGGAGAATAAATGGTTAACATCTTTAAGGAATGATTTACCTCATTTATCTCAGGGAAACATCTCAGAATTGGGAACTTTTATGAACAGTGACTTGAGCAGAATAAAATATTTACACCTCTACCGCATCATTTTTCTTCAACAAGACCTCACTTTGTCACTGTAACCTTCCCTCATAGCATGCTCTCTCGCTTCCTCAGTTGTTTCTCCAACGTTTGTCAATCTCATATCTATGCTTTTCTATTTCTGGCTTTTTGTTTACTTTCTCTCAGATATCTGCACTTCTATTTTAGTGCTCTTATCTTTTTTCCAGTAAACAAGGTCATAAGTGAAAGTGGTCTTTGGCAATTCCAGTATTCGCTAGCTGACATTAATTGACATCATGGAACGGTTTGCGCTGTCGTGGTAGCAGCTCGTGGCTTTACAAGTTCACATGTATTAAATTTCTCAGATACAATTTCAGTTGGTGCCATTAACAAAAAATTCAGTACTGGGATATGAATTATGACAGAGACGTATTTGTCACAAACAAATCCACATTTGCACTTTCAAATCCTGTTCCACAGGTGCGCTGAAAAGGCAGTGCAATGTTGTGACTCCATTT